CATTCAAAACGTCTAGTTTTTTAAATGTAAAAAAAAAAAAAAAAGATTTTTTCTTGGTTATGTGAATGTTAAAGACAACATTAAGAAGAACGTTCTATTTTATTGTTTTGCAAACATTATGGAAATGTTACTTTTAAATGTTCTCTAGACCATTTAAAATATCCAACTAAAATGTTTCAGAAAACCGTTCCATAAATAACGTTTTTGTGCTAAGGTTTTGAGGACATCATTAAAGACCAGATAACTTTGAATGAACGTTCTATTAACGTTACAGTTCATAACATTGAGAGAACCTGGCCAGAATGTTCTGAGAACGTACCCTGTTAGCTGGGTACTTGTTGGCCATGAGTTCAAATCATTTTCTAATGATTTTCTGATGCTGTCAGTAGAACTTGTTTTGAACATGGAACATGAAAATGTAATGTTTGTGGTTTTTTTGTGCATAATTTCCAGTTTGTTAATATATTTCTCACCACTGAAATTATAAATACCTACTAAGGACAAACCATTTATCACTTTTGTGAGACCAAATATAACTAGCAACAGACCTTTTATTTATTTATTTATTACCATTTATTAACAAAGCTGTGCAGGGCGACCCCAAGCAAAAGTACCTACGTACAGAAGACATTTGATGTTCAACCACATTTGAGTTCTCAGTAAGGGGTGATTCTATTTACTCAGAAATGTGTTTTAAGGATATTCTCTTTCTTGAAAGGTAGTTTAGCAATTAGGTGTCTGGTCAGGGTTTATATTCTAAAGTATGTGTTTGAAAAGTTAGGTAGTTTATGTTTTTAGAGACAAGGCTGTTTTTTACTTGTCAAACTGATTATAGTTTATTTTTGATTGGATCTATGGATTGTATGTTATTGCATTTATTTGAATGTTAAAATGGATTCAAGAAATCGAGGTGTACTTTTATTTTTAAATTTTGTGTGACGTGTTGTCTAAACATGTACGGAATCTGAAAATGTGTATTATTCTTTAGATATCTGACTGTTTCGATTTGGCTGTATCTTTGATATGAAAAATCGTCTGTGTTTCAGTAGCTTCTACGATTTTATGTTAAAAAACAAAAAAAATAGAAGCCCAAAAAAAAAAGGATATAAGAAAAAGAAAAATTGTCTTGTGTAATTTTGCATGGGTGTGCCATGATTTATCAGCATTAAGGGTATTCTGAATTTTTTTTATTTTTTTTTATTTTAATGATTATTGTTCTTATTTTGTCTGGTGTCTTTGTAATTCAGAGTATTTATTGTTTTATCATGTCAGATTGTGAATGGTTTTCTGTGGTCTCAACTCCTTTTCATCTCATACGGTGAAAGTATCTGATTTCATGAGGCTGCTCTTCAATAATCACCAGCAAAAAATCTACGTCATTTCTTTATTTACTGTTTTCAATTTGACACAGGTCTTATGATTCTGAAATAGAACTAGGGTTGAAAGATTACTGTTTTTTATTTGTTTTGCAATATTGCTACACATCTCAGTCTTCTCCTCAAACTGTATTTTAATGGACAAACAACAGCCGGCTGCTACACACAGTGTGTACAGGGCAGATCAGGGTAAATAGCAGCATTCATGTGTTTTATTTTACTTGCATAAAGATACATAGAGTACAGATACAGTTGCCTTCCAGGGCAAACGTGAGACGTACAGTTATTTTATTAATTTTTTACACCATGTTTATGGATTTAGGGAATGTGCCAGATTTTCCAGCTTTGTTTTTTTTTTTTTCCATTTTAGGTACATGCCGTTATGAGTTCAGATATTTTTATCTCTGTTCTGTTGTTTGAAATTTTATGCAACATCTAAAGTTTTGTTATGAAAATGATACAAAGCTTATATGTGTTGTACAGATTCCACAGATGAACAAGATACAAATGTACACATGGACAAATAATGGATTCAATTTTGTATCTTTGTCATTTTAATACAATAAAATGTGACTGAAATGAAAACGTTGTAAATAATTAATTTTCCCACATGTACTCATTTTAATTCATCTGCTTCTTGAGCAATTAATTATTACCTGAACACACAGTCTGAAATCTAGTCTAAAACAGACATTAGCAATGCAGTTTAAATGCAAGAGAAACCGATATTAAATGGCCATTTAGTCATAGTCGTATCAGTTTCATTATCACTAAATCTATAAGCAATTTTGGAGAGGCTAGCAATAGCAAGCTAGCTTTGAAAGTAGCAAGCACTACTATCAATCAAAATATCTGTGCAAGCCTGATACCACTCTAGATGAGCACACACCATCTAAGCCAAGAGCTGACATAAGTGGCAAACCCAAGGGAAAGTTGTAATAGTGGTGAAAGAGGGAACAACAATGTTTCTCAAAGGTACAGACCATGATAAGGGGATTTTTTTAGTCCTTTAACCTCAGAGGTTTTTCATGAAGTAGATTCCAGGTGTTCTGGTGTTTCAAACACAGACCAAGGTTATGCATGAGCAGTCAAGAAAAAGCTGGAACAAGGGGAGGCCCTCAGATCCTTTCAGATCTGAATTTGTGCAACTGAATCTTTTGGTGGGATTAGCACCTCTCCAGAGTAGTGCTGTAGTCATTTAAGAGTATGACATGGATTTACAGGAGCCTTTCCAGATCGTAAAGTTCACACATCAGTACCGGCTCTAAATAAATTATCCCTTCTTTCTTTAGACCAGAAGATAATAAGATGTCTATTTTTCTACTCATTACACAAGTGTTCATATTTATAACACATTTCATTAACAATTTGTATGGAGGAGACAGACCATAGTTGCATTCCAATTTACAGCATTCCTACACAGTGTTCAATGACTTGAGGGGTAATTTACATTTCTACTTCCTGTAAAAAGTAGGATAGGCAATTTTGGAGAGGCTAGCAATAGCAAGCTAGCTTTGAAAGCATAAGATCCCACCCTCCCTGCAAATCACTCTCCAAAGCCACGCCGCCTCCAAAACACCTGAACACACACCGGTAGACCAGAGACTAACGACGAGAGACGGCGTTGAATGCAACGCTGTCAGATTAGCTCATGTCTTTTTCACCGGTGAGAAAACATTATAGTACAAAACGCATAATATTACAATAATAACGCCTTCCATTCTCGCTCAGTACGCAATAGCGTAATGATGCATACATACAAATACATCCGTTGACAGGCAGGTGGGACAAACATCTTCCACAGACATATAAATACATTTAGACCACTTAACTTAGTGATTACTATCAGGATGTGAAGAGACTTTTTTTTTTTCGCCTTTTATTTAGATAGGACAGTAGGTCAACAGGAAGCGAAGTGGGTGAGAGGGATCGGGAAAGGTCCGCGAGCCGGACTCGAATTCGGGACACCCGGCGCTACATGTCTGCGCGCTGCCCACGAGGCCATCGGCGCCAACGTGAAGATCATCAGCCAGCATAACAAAAAAATGTTTTTGAACCAAATCACCTATACCCTGTCTTTAATGCAAGTTAAAAGTCGTGATATCGTCTTGTTTTGAACGTCTGAGTGAGCAATTTTCTGTGAATGTGCGAATATCTAGAAGAAAATCAAAGTATGGTAAACGGTGAAACTATTTGCGCCACAAACCAGTGTATTTACGTTTAATCAATTAAAATAATAAGGTTAAGAAATACTTGTTTGCAATATTAAGCAGCATAACGAGCTGTTTTGTACCGCTAAAAATAAGCGGATAAAACCGGAAGTCTTGCACATTCACGTTACAAAATAGCGCACCTGCTCTTAAGTTAAAAATAAGGTGGAAAAGCAGGAAAGTGCTCAATAGTGCTGATAAAGTACAAAATTATACAAGTTATTGTGCCTAATGTGAAACATTTCAGATGCTTTTATTGCAATTAAAAATCAGATCTACTGCAATAAACGTATTGTCACTGTCTGAATTAAAATCAGTTCTGTACAAAATTAAACTATTTCTATTGGAAGTTGCTTATCAAGGCCTCTAGATGGTGCTGTATTAATTGAGATCTATTTCTATAGAAACAAGACTTGTGAAAGGCCATCATTATTAAACAAATAATCTTTAATACATGCTTCTTTTTTTTTTTACAAATGTGCAGGTTTTTCTGTGCAAATGACAGCTGTAAACATTGTTGCTAATGTCAGTTAGTCAGCAAAGCCACAATACTATAAAAATTTGCCTGAAGTTAGTTTTAGTTCCTCTGAACAGGTTTGTAATTGCCATTTCCTCTTTCTGTGTCACAAACTGAATAACAGACAGGCATACAGAGAGAAAATGACTTGTGGCATGTTACAGACGTGCACAAAATGTCAAATATATATATATATTTTTTTTTCTGATGTGCACAAAAAGGATTTATTTATTTATTTATTCATATTGCACTAAAAACAGTTTTAATTTTGTATTTCATTTTTCTGTCCCTTAAAATCTGTTTTTGTCTGTTTAAGACTTAAGTGTAAACACCATTTTTGCATTTGAGTATCAGCACTTTGCTACATTTATTTTCGCAATTTGCTGATTTGCTTTTATCTAAAATTCTAATCCTCATGATATGAGCCCTTTAACTACATACTGTTCAATGCTGTTTTAGTATGCATGTTAAATAATGTTTTCAATACAATACTTTGTCCAGGAAGGTTTGTCTGAGTCTGAATCTCACAGTAAAGTCATCCGCAGTTGCATAAGGTAGACTTTTTGATCACAGGTGGCTCTTCTTTAATGGTGGCCCCAACCGTTAACCCCTGCCAGTCATCTCGGGTGGGTATTTTGCCTTGCTGGAAGAGGTTATATATGCCTCTGGTCAAGATCTCAAACGCCTCGCTGACGTTAATGTTCTCTTTTGTAGACACCTCAAGATAAGCCAGCATGTTGAGTTTTTTAGCCAGAGCGTCTCCTTCACTCTTCCTGACCTGTCGTCCCACGGCCAGATCACATTTGTGACCCACAAGCACGAAGAACATCGGGTTCGGTTTCACATAGTCCAGGACTTCCTGCTGCCAGCTGCCCACACGATCAAACGTCTGTCGCTGCGAGACGTCAAACATCAGGATGCAGCCCACAGAGTTCCTCATATAAGACTTACATATGGACCTGCAGGAAAAAGGGTCAGAGTCACGCATGTTGAGGAACTGAGCAACTCCACTGAATATTTTAGGGTGGGTTTATTTCAAATAAATAAATGTAATTCTTTTTTTATTTATTTTATTTTTGCATTGAAACACATTTTAAAGTCTTGACAATAACAAAGTACTTAATATTTTTACAGTTATTAGTAGGGAGAAAAAAAATATATAGATCATTTAATTCAGGTTGACAGCTGTTTATTGACACTGATTTATGAAGAACACCTCTTTTTTGAAATATGCAAGTATGAAATATGGTTGAAGTAAACAGCTGTTTCTCAAAACATACCTTTATGCCTTTATGTTTTTGTTCAAATTTTTTTTTTTTTCCTTTTATAGCAAAATTTAAACAATGAAACAGAAAATAATCAATGAAAATAGTGATGGTGATTTTGCTCTGATAAAATATGACAACAGACATGTTACAAAAGTTTTAATTCCTAAAATGATACTTCAGCAAGAGCTATAAAGATCTGCATTGGCAACAGAAGGTTTTTAATTTCTTTTAATTAAAAAAATTAATTAATTAAAATTAAAACAAAAACTATGTATATTATTTTTCAAAATAGGGCATCATATGACCCCTTTAAAAAGAAGAGCATTTATTTAAAATAGAAATATTTTCTAACAATATACACTACTGTTCAAAAGTTTGGGTTCAGTACATTTTTATTCTTGCTTTTTTGAAAGAAATTAAAACTTTTATTCAGCAAGGATGTGTTAAATTGATAAGAAGTTATAGCAAAGATTTATATTGTTAGAAAATAATTATATTTTGAATAAATGCTGTTCTTTTTAACTTTTTATTCATCAAAGAATCCTGAAAAAAAATATCACAGGTTCCAAATTTATATTGTAATAACATTTTGCAAGATTACTGTTTTTTTCTGTATTTTTGATCAAATAAATGCAGCCTTGATGAGCATAAGAGACTTCTTTAAAAAACATTACAAGTCTTACTGATCCCAAACTTTTGACCGGTAGTGTGTATATAAAAATATATATGTTTTATATGATATAAAATCATATGATATTATCCGATTAGAATGATTTCTGAAGGATAATGTGACACTTTATACTGGAGTAATGATGATGGAAATTCAGCTTTGCATCACAGAAATAAATTATATTTTAAAGGATATTAAATTAGAAGCCGTTATTTTATATTGTAATAGCATTTTGCAAGATTACGTTTTTTTTCTGTATTTTTGATCAAATAAATGCAGCCTTGATGAGCAGAAGAGACTTCTTTAAAAAACATTACAAGTCTTACTGATCCCAAACTTTTGAACAGCAGTGCATTTAAAATGGTGAAATATATAATATAATATTTAAAATAGTGAAATAAAACATAAAAGATCATCAGACGAATTTGGGCCAATAGAAAAGTTGAATAACTAAAATGACAGCATTTAAAATGTGTGTGACAACTTGCCCCCACCTGCCATTTATGAGAATAACCTTTGTCCAGAGAGCAGTTCTACCTTTGATTTCAAACCTACCTTTATTATATGTGACCCTGGAGCACAAAAGCAGTGTTAAGTCGCTGGGGTATATTTGTAGCAATAGCCAAAAATACATTGTATGGGTCAAAATTATCAATTTTTCTTTAATGCCAAAAATCATTAGGATATTAAGTAAAGATCATGTTCCATGAAGATATTTTGTAAATTTCCTACCGTAAATATATCGAAACTTCATTTTTGATTAGTAATATGCATTGCTAAGAACTTCATTTGGACAACTTTAAAGGCAGTTTTCTCAATATTTTGATTTTTTTTGCACCCTCAGATTCCAGATTTTCAAATAGTTGTATCTCGACCAAATATTGTCCTATTATCCTAGCAAACCATACATCAATGGAAAGCTTATTTATTCAGCTTTCATATGATGTATAAATCTCAGTTTCGAAAAATTGACACTTATGACTGGTTTTGTGGTCCAGGGTCACATATTAAAATGACTCGTCTTATCTGTGTGTTTTATTGTGTAGCCCAAAATGCCGATACTGAAATTGAAGTTCGGAGGATAAAATTGACCAAACTCATCCTAATTTAAGACTTGAATTAGGATTTTAAAAATTAGCCCTGACCTCCCTTATAATCCATCTATAGTCTGTTGTCCCACTTCTATAATTTATAATCTGCAGGTTTTGAATTCGCATAAACTTTCAACATGTCAGAAAGAAATGGCAATAAAATAACATGAGTGTAACCTCATGTACAGTATATGATCTGGTGGGTTTCACTGACAGACACTCACCTAAATCTCTCCTGGCCTGCAGTGTCCCACAGAAGCA